CATCCAACAATTTGTCCTTCTTTACCATTGCGATAACTTCAGCCTAGAAAGGAAAATCTTGATATTTCTAGTATGTGTCTTATTGGACTTGATAAATATTATACTGTTTTTTCCAAAGTACTACCATCTGTAGAGATTGAACCATTGTTCTATATCCTATTATGGTGTATTCTTCAACTACTAGAAGATCGTTCAACTACATATTGATATTGTTGATTAGGTGTGTATGATCCTAAAATCTTCCAAATCTCCCAATATTCATGCTAATAAAAAATAGGCATGACACTTTTAAGGCATCATTCTCGTTCTGTATTTCTTTGAGTCTAGTCTTCTTTTTTCTTTCATGATAGAAGAGAAGGGAGAAGTATATTCTTTCTCTTTCACTTAGCCCAAGATATAGGAGTTGACAGTGTTCATTATTTACCCACACCAAGACATAATGCCTTATGGTGGACCTCAGGTTCTTATGGAACTGAGAAAATGCATTTGAACACGTGAAGTAACCAATAGGAGTTTGTTTACTTCTTTCACTAATATGAGCTCTGTCTGCCCAATCACGGTGTAAGAAACTTTGTGCTACTCAAAATTCAGGGTCAAACTGAGGTAGGCAAAATTCCTCAAAAAAAAACCAAAAACGAGCACTATGAGAAGCAGAAACTTGACAAGAGAGTGAAAAAATTGTCTCTCATCATAACAACACTTCTGTAGTGTTTCTCTACAGTGTGATATAGCAGTACATTAGTTCTTCTTCCTTTTAGAACTTTCTTGTCATGGGTAGAAAAGGTGTTTCTTGATCTTTAAGGTCACTAGAGGTCAAGTTTTTTGTTTGAAGAGGATAGTAAGCAAGAGAGAGGGGTAGTATATGACTCTTGAAGCTTTTTTAAGTTGGTTTAGAGAAAGTGATAAGACTTTATTAGCCTAAAAGTATAAAAACTTCTTGCGAACATCTTTTTTGTGTATGGTTAGAGGATCAGCAGAAAGAGTTCCCTCAAAATATTTTATTTAATATTATTTATTGGCTAAAAATTATAGATAAAAAAGTTCTTACTACTTTAATAAACACTTAATTATTGAAAAAATATTTTAATCAAGAGAAATAAAAATTTTAAATTGTTTTATATAACTATTAAGTATTTTTTTTTTTTTTAATCTGCAGTTAGTACAGTATGGCCTGTCTTAATTATATATATAAAAGATATTTACAAAATATTTTAATTTTTACATACTAATTCATCTGTTATCAAAAAACTATTTTTCTAAATGTAACTTAGGAAATAATATTTTATTTTGATAAATTTTCTAGTTAATAAAATTATTGCCTACAAGGTTATTATTATAAATCATTCTAAATTTTAATTGCAATTAAAAATCAAGCTATTTTTTTTTATGACAAATCCAATTCTTAATAATTTTTATATATTTTATTCCCTCTTTTCTTTTGAAAATTCTTGCCTTGAATCTTCTAAAAATATAGATTTTATTTTCAATTCTTATATGACCTATATATTGAATCTATATCTAGATCTTTTGATTCATTTGTTCTCTTCAATAATATTTTGCTTCTTTTTCCATTCTATTACTTTTTTACATGAGCTGTTTCATATATTCTTTTGAAAAAATTTTTTTATTTTATAAAAAAGCTTACTAATTATATCCTGTATAACTATTGGAAGAATTTTAAGTTATACTTTAAGGTAATTCTTCAAAGAATTGGTTTTATTCTCTTTCATATATTCACAAATGATATTAAAAAGATTTCTATCAAATTATTGAATCTTTTTAACTATTTATTTTTCAGTAATTAGTTGCAAAACAAACTTTTTTTTTGTCTTTGATTTCTTTATATATCTTCTTTGATTTTTTTAGTAGTTGGATATTCAAATAGGTATTCTAATATTTTTTCCTGAAATTTATATATTGGATAGATTAATATGATATAAATATTTGATTTTTTTTTTTTAAGTATCGATAGTACTGGAAGTTTATTGTATAACTATTAAGTATCAAAAATATTACAAAAAATATAACTATTATATAGTCTTGATAATTAAATATTTAATAAAAAATAAATATAAAAATATATAAAAGAATAATTAATTTAATTAAAGTAAGATGTTTTTATATTTACAATTAACAAGATTATTTTAATAATTAAATTTATTAATAAAAATTATTATTATTATTATTTTAAGTCTATAAAATATCTAATATTGATAATTAATTATATTTGTTAAGTTTATTTAAAAAATTTTTAGTTTTTTTTAAATTTTGAAGTTGATTTCTTAAAGATTATTTAGTTAACAATATAGAGTTTCTATTTTTTATTTTTATTTTTTAGAAAATAAAATTAATTCAAAATAAATAAGTCTGAATTATTAATAAATAAAAATTTATAGTTTTTTTAAATAAAAATAAAAAAAAAACAAAGATGTATTTTTGTTTATAAATCTAGAATACAATAATAAATATAATAAAATAATAAAAATTTAGTATTATATAAATAGAGATATTAAATAATTAAGCTATAATTAATAAGTTATTTAATTTAAAAGATATAAATAACTTGAAAAAAGTATAAATAAATAAAATATTTTCAATTAATATTTTTATTTATCTAAAAAATTAAAAGTATACAACAATTTAAATTTATGAGATAACTAGTTAAATTGTAAGTAATTTTTTAAAACAATTTTTGACTACATAAATTGAGTTTTATAAAGATTAAATATTATACAATTTTTAAAAATAAAGTTTTTTTTTTTTTAAATATAAATTTATATTAAAACAATAAGAATATTTTATATATAATATTATTTAAAAAAAAAATTATCACTTTTTTTATTAATAAATTTAATAAATTTAATGATAATTCAACAATTAAATATTATAATTTCAACTATATCATTGTTAACAAGTCTATAGAAAACTATATTAAAAAAAATAATGTTTATTTTTTAATAAAAATCCTTTTTTATTTATAATCTTTGGTCAATTTGAATTAAATTTAAGAATTAATTGATCAATTTTTTTAAGAAAAAAAATTATTAAGAGAAATATAATAATTAATATTTATTTTACATATTATTTTAAATTCATATTCAATTTAATTTAAATTCTAGATCCTATATATTAAAATCAAGAGTATTGTTATTATGTTATTGATTTACAAGCTTTCTTTAATTATAAAACATTAGTAATTTTATTATTTTTTATTTAAAATTAAAAAATTTATTATATCAATTATTAAAATAAAAATTTTTTGAAAATTCAATTTTTGTTTTAAGATATTTTTAAATAAGTAATAAACACTTAAAATAAGATATTGTTTTTATTAATCTTATTATGAATTTAAGTATATTTTCTTAATATATATATCTATATTATATTATTTAAATCTTTATTTATTTCAAAAAAAGATAAACTCGTTATACTATATACCAAGAGCTCTATTTACATTCAAAAAATATAACTTTATGCTTTGTCCTTGATAAAATCTAATGCTCTTATTGATTTTTGAATAAATAATTTTTAAATAATATAGAAATAAAAAAATCGGATTATTCTTTTTTCTTTAAAAATATAAAAACAATATTTTTGCAACTTCCTTGAGTCCATGATTATCAATTGATAAACTTTTCTTATTATAAAAAAGTTCAAGAAAAAAATCAGTTACAAATAATTAAAGAATTTGTTATGTCTAGATTAATAACGAAGTCTCGTTACAAAAATAGTTTACAACATATGATTTTTAGTGATTTTTTTTTCAAATACGATTTAATCAAAAATCAAAAATAAATTTAATAAAATTTAGTAAATAATTTTATTAAAAAATTTTTATATCGCAGATGATTCTTTTAATGATAGGTTTTCTTAATAACTTGTTACATAAATGTACACTCAACCCGTTATTCGAATTGAATCGTGCAAAACCTTTCACCGTGGCCAGATTATCAACAATTTACATTTACAATATTTTATACAGTAAATCAACGCATGGTAGAATGGTTTTTTTTTGTTAAGGCAATTGGTAATGCGGCAGCGATCAAAAATACACTATATAAAAACAACGCATTCTTTCATCTCGCTTAACAAATCGACAAAGAGACATTTAAGATTTTATAAATTAATTTATTCAGAAGTATGACATTGTAGACATTAAGAAAAAAAACCAAATTTAAAAAAAAGTAATAATAATAAGATAAATAAAAAATAATAAATTAGAGGAAAAAAAGAGAACCGAGAAAACTAAAAGAAATTTCAAAAACATTGATGGCACAAAAAAGGTTTATATTGTATTTGTCGAGGGGATGGAGGGGTGTTGGAAGATCAGTGGAATTATATTCATAAAAATTCAAACAATTCATTACTATAGAAAACATTTATTAATAAAAGAACTATTAATTACACAAGAGGGCCGAGGACTGGGTGGGGGGGGACTAAAATATTAAAACTATATAATATATATGGAGTCATTACTATGGGACAAGTAGAAACTATAATACAGTATATTTGGGTCATTAACATTGGGAACATTTTGAGGGACTATAAACAAATATTGGGGACTACTCACAAAAGGGGGTTTGGTGGACAAAACTATTTTCACATGTATTCACGAGGCAACTAATGGAACTGTATGCATATTTCGCAAAGAGACAAAGAGAAAAAGAAAAAATTGAAGAAAAAAAAAATTGAAAAAAAAAAAAAATAATAATAATTTTGAAACTTTCAAGAGTATTTACAGAAGAGGATCATTTTAGGAACTGTCAAAAGGGGAACGACGTGAATTGACTTGATATCTACAATTTTGAAAATGAAATATTATTTAAATAGTTAGGAGAATTAAGGAAATAGGTGAGAATAGGCGCGTTTTTTCTGCTTCCTGACATATCAATTGATTTAACCGATCATGATTAGCAACAACAGCCGATGTTAACCTCAACACTTTGAGCCTCTTTCGCTTGGTTCAACGGGAGTGCTCGTGATAAAGCTCGGCTTCAAGTTTAATGGAATTCGGCTTCGGGCGTATTGAAACGCTTGTGACGAAGTTCATCAACACCTTTTTTTATCAGCTCTGGCCCAAGCATAGCAGAACGCCTGTGGTGAAGTTCGACTTCAGGTTCAGTGGAACGCCTTTTTCCGTTCTTGTGCTTATTATGTTTGTCATATTTATAATATTTATGATATAGATAATAGGGATCGGCCTTGGCATCTGGTGCAGGTTCCGCAAAACGTTTAACGGCAGGAGGGACCGCTAGTACGGCGGCCACGAATAAAATGAGTCCAACCAACAAGGTCGTTGTGGACTTCATCTCATTCCTCTAAATCCGTTACGATAAAAATGATGAAAGGGAATCCGAGGGATTAAATAGTTTTTGGAGGATCAAAAGCGGATTCTGAGATACTATCGTTATATTGGGAAGATCTATGAGAATTCTTTCTTGATAATCGTGTGATATGAATTTTTGGTATTTAGCATATCGATTTTTTATTTGATAAAATGTTGGTTGCGATTTCATTGTCAAGCCTCGTAGTGTCTATGATTCAATCTCTTGGAAATTTCGCAAAGCCTATATTCAAGTTTTATGCATGTTTATTTCACAATGGTTATTCGCACTTCCTGAATGTTACTCAAAAACTTGTTATTTTCATTATTTTTCCAATTTCATTAAAAGTCTTGAGAAGGACCAGCCACTCGAGCCTGATAGTGGTCCCGAAATTGGGAAGAATGTAAAATGCGTAGTCTTATGATGTCAGAATGAATGACTGTCACACAGAATAAAATAGGTTTTATTAATCTTAAGCTTTTCGTCAGAAATACGCGAGTAGCGCGATGTAAAAAAGTAATCTTTGCTTAATAATAACCATGCTCATTGTACGTATATCAAGTAAATCTTTCTAGAATATAGCTTCAGAGCTACCAACCTAAGGTGTGTAGATGGATTGCATATACTTCACATTCTCCACAAATTTCTATTTATAAATTAAAGATTTGGACGCCTTCTCATAGGCGCATTGGCATTACATTCAAATGAAATTACCGGATATATGAAGGCATCTGTTATCGCATCACCGATATGTGTCTAAATTAAGGCAGTAATTTTTTCTTTGCTTAGCCTTCAAACAAATTTTTCGTGGCTTTTTGCAATCAAAGATTTGGCTTCGTGAGATCGAATTTGCCGATCTATAATAACATCGGAATTGATATAATACGGAGCGGCTTAGCGGATCGTAATTTGTTGTGGCTTAAAAATTTTTTCGGAGAATACCCTCATTTGATGTGAGAATCGAGGTTTGCATTTTTTTATCTTTAATTCAGATATAAAATTCTCACGCATTATTTAATAATTTCTAAATCTGTTCATCTACATAAAAATTTTTGGAATTAACATTATTGTGCATATATAATTAAATGTCATGTGACTAGTATTGATAATACTTTAATAAGCTATTATTATTGTCTTTTTACGGATATAATTATTGTTAAAATATTTATATAATTAACAATTTGAATTAAACTAATATAAAATATTATTAACCTAATATATTGTATCTAATTATATTATTATATTAAGTTTATTTAAATATAAAGTAAATTTATTAAATTTACTAATTATTTTTTAAATAAAATTCATGCTAGAATTAATTTGAAAAATTCTAATACTAATCATAACAATATATTAAATTAATATAAATTTATAATATTTAAAATTTTATTTACTAAACTATATGTTTTAAATATATTTTAAAAATCAAAAAAATTATTTTATAAATAATAAAAAAAATTTTTTAAAAAATATTGTTTATAAATAAAAATTTTTAAACGAAAATTAAAATCTTTTTTTTTTAAATTATTCTTCTAAATATTTTTAAAATATTTAATATACATAAATTTTCAATTATTGAAATATAAAATATTAAATTAAATTCTTTCTTTTAATAAAATAATAAATGTTTAAAATAATAAAAACTATTAAAATAATTATAATTCTTAATTGTTAATAAAATCAATCAACTATATTTGATTCTTATTTAATTTAACTAATATTCTTTAAACTTAAATTAATTTTAATCAAATTATCTAAAAAATTTTTATTTATTATAAAAGTAATAATATTATAATAATATTTTTAAATTGTTAAAAATAAATTTACAAATCATAATTTTCAAAATATTTTATAATAATAATAATTATTATTATTATTTATAATTTTATAATTTCTGAATTTCCATTAAAATAAATTATATTTTTTCTAAAAAAAAAATATATATAAACCATGTGGCAACAAAATTTATTAATCTCAAAAATATTATCTATGTAGATCAGTATATACAGTATATAAAAAGTAACGTCACCTGTTCTTTCATTATTATCTTCATCGTGGTTTCATTAAAATGAGTGATAATAACACACAACCACATGCCAAATGGTTCAAAATACTCTTCAAAACTCTTCAACAACATGAAACAATAATTGAATTCCTATCAGGAGACAAACCACCAGAGGAGTTTTTTGATATTATTAATAATGATAATATTATCAAAGTTATGAAGAATGATTTGAAAGAAATATATTACTGGTTCAAAAATGACAAAAAAAAGATAATTAATAAGGCAATTCAATATATGCACAAGAAATTTAAAGAAAATAATAATATACGTGACATAGACAAAAAGGAAAGGGACAAATTCAAAAATGACTTTAATAATATTGATGATCAAAAAAAGTTGGAATGGAAGATGCAGAATGAACTTCTTACTGATATCAAAGAAAAACTGCCTGAATTCCCTTATGTTTATGAGTATGGATGGAAATATAAAAAAGGAGTGAGTAACCTGATTCTTACAAATGGTAAAGGTATATTTGCTATTGTAGAGACAAAAAGATTAATAGAAAATAGTACTCATGACAAATATATTAAAAAAATAAATAAATATAGAATATTCCATGTCCTCGAACAAGCAGGACATTACAAACGAGCATTTATCAATCAATATTGTGAACAGGGTTATGTTGAGCAACATGGTCACCGTATTGACATCATTGCAGTTATTGTTATGGGAATCACCGATGAGGAACATGTAAATAAACATTGGCCTGAACTCTTTGATAAATGAGTCATTAAGGCCATCTACAAGATGCATAGCGGAGCAGATCTCCCTGAACCTGAAGACATGGGTTTTTTTTACTCTGCTTTATCAAACAACACATCAACTTCTAGCCTTCCTCTAGATAATGTTGATAGTCATGAAACAGAATCTTGAAATCTATTTAAATTACAATTTATAAAAGTGAAGGCCGCAAATATCATGACAAAGTTTATTATGAATCACAATATTTTGCTGTTATAGATTTTAATAACCTTCATCTTTAAGTCGAAGGTTATTCCAAGTTGAGTTTAAGTTTTGTGTAAAGTCGATTAGGATCTTAAGAGAGTGATCAAAGTAAATTTAAATAAATATTAAAATGAATGAAAGGCTATCGAAAAAATACACGCGGTAAAAATTTCAAAAGAATGCTTTCGAATTTTTGATTTAGAATTTATATATCACCACAAACTTCACTTGAAATCCTGGATTTTATTTTAGCAAAACTATTGTATTAATGAATTCTTTATATTTTTTTATTTATTACCTTCTCACCCTTGATCAGAATCATACTTTTGTTGATGCATATTCTTGTTACAAATGGAAATCTTAATAATATCACATCAATCGTCTCTTTTATTCAATTGAATACCATTCTACCTCTTTGAAATTCTAGTAACCTGGGCCCCTTAAACAATGATACATCTTCTCATAATGCGATATTAACTTGACTACTAAATTCAGAGTATGATAAAGATCTTTGTAGTGTATTTTTCATCAATTAAAGTTGACCAAATTTCTTATTAATTCCATCCATTGATGAAAAATTATGTCGAGAAAAAAATCTCCTCACGTTATTTTCTACTTCGCTCTCTAGTATACATCCTCTTGGAAAACGATACACTAATTAATCACTGAATGTAAAGATTCAATAAAAAAAACATGACTTAAATTTTTTTTTTTTTTTTTTAAGGCACGTAATTAGAATATATAGTTAAAAATGAACGGATTCATTTATAATTTTTTTGTACTTAGTAATAATTTAATATTATCAATTAGTTTTTGTCAATATATTATTTTTTGATTTTTATAATTTTTTAAGCAAAAATATATAGATTTTGATTCTTTAATTTATCAATAATTATTCATAAAAAAAAATTTTTTTTTCTCAACATGAAAAAATTTTTTATCAAAATATATCAAGAAATATAAATAAATATTTATTACTTTTTTGACTATATGAATATTGCTATTGATGTTCAAAAAATTTTTGAAGAATAATAACATTGATATGTATTTATATATAAACAATTAAATATTTAAGTTTATTATTATTATCAAAAATTCATTTTTTAATTCAAATGTAAAAAATTATAATTAGATTTATTAATAGATATCAAAATTATATTCTTCATTTTGATTAAATCATTGTAAAATATAATAATTTAAAAATATATAAAAAGTTATCCTTCTTAAGAAGATATTTACTTTGCAGTTTGTTGCCACTCCAATGTAAAAAGCTAACCTGTCAAGGCTAAGCTAATACTAAAAAAAATTTCAAATATATAAAAGTTGTCTATTAAATTTGTGACCTATTGATATATAAAGGTATTGATCAATTGTATAAATTGGTTTTTATATATTTTTTTTCTGAATATAAAGATATGATTCTCTTTTTTGTTTTATATTTTATTAATTTCTCCTTTTTTTTTGTAATTCTTATTTTAACTTTTTATTTTTAAAAGGTTTCACATTTTTTTTGCCAGATTTAATATAAATATTTTATAATCACGGTATAAATTGCTATTATATAGTTTTTTCTAACTAGACTATTCAAAATAGTTATTTTAATTTTGTGTATTAATTCCTTAAAAAAAGTTTTTCTAATACTTGCTATTAGATATTTCTTATATTTCAAATTAATTTTATTTAATAAATAAATAATAAATAATTGAAATTTTTTTCTTGTATAATCTTTTATATAGATTTTTATTAGTAAGTTATCAGTTTTATCTTTAAGTTGTTAACAAAATAAAAAGTAGATATTAATCTTTAGTTCTTTATATTTATTATATCTATTGTTTATATAAATAGATAAAAGTCTTATATGTTACTTACTTTTGATTAACAATTCATCATTTTAAAGATCAAAACAAAATTTTCTTAACTTTTGATCCTTCCAATTCATATAATAATTATATATCTTAGTAAATTGTAAATAGATTATTATTATTTGTTAGTTTATTTTTTTAATTATACATTTACTGTAGTTGTATCTAGTCTTATTTAGCAAATACATTTTATCAGATAAATTGTCCTTATAATTATTTGAATAATCTGCTTTATAAGAACTTTTAGTAAATATTAATCTGTTTTATAAAAACTTTAATAAAGAAATTGTTTTATTATATAACTATTTTTATATCTAAATTTCCTATTTTTAATATTTCAATTTTTTTTCTACTAATTTTATAAATTTATTTGTACTAGTTAATCTATTATCTTATTGTATTTTACTCCTGAGTAGCTTTTTACTTTGTAAAATATTAATTTAAACTTTCTTTACTTATATATAATCTTAATTTGAAGTAAAAGATTTAAGTTTTCTGTTTTTTTTTTTTATAATCTTACTAGTATCTTCTTTTTAAACCTTTTTTATTCAGTTAATTTTTACCTAACTATCTATATAAATATTTACAATACTATATTTAAGTAGAATATTTAAAGTAATTAAAATTTCAACTATTTCTGCTTTGGTAAATAATAGATATTTTCGTATTTACTTTTAAAACACATGTTTCTTTAAATTTGTAAAATAATAATTCAATCTAAGTCTATATAATATTTGTTATTAAAATTTATTAGAGATTCATCTATATAGATATTAAAAATAATATAATTTTCTATACCTTCTTTAATTGTTTCTAAAACTTTTAAGTTTTCTTGCAAGCTATAAAGAATTTTATTTTATTATTTAATCTTTTTTTTTAACAGAATTATATTTAACTTTATGGGATTCTAAATTACATATACTGTATATATTATACAAGGTGCAAATATATAGATATATATTCAAAATATTATTAAAGGATACAATAAGCTAAAACTATATCAAGATATACTGCTCTCTTTTTTAATAAAAGAAACTAGTATCTCTTTGAGTATACTAGTGTTATTGAAAAAAAAAATAAAAGGAAAATAAAAAAAGCAATTATATGCTATGCTGAAAAAGTAACTATTATGTTTCTTAGCAAATGCCCATCTTGTTTTCCAGATTCTTCTCATAATAATAGTCTGAACTTTATAGTTTTATGACTTGTGAAGAGAAACTAATCAAAGACCTAGATTATATATTAGTATTCACATAAATAACTTAAAAATCTTTCAATATATCATTAATTAAATCTATTTCTATTTAAATATGGATATACTTACCTATTTGTACAATGTATTTCAAATTTAATTCCTTAAAGAAGTATTGCATCTAGCTTTGCAGTTGGTATACTCTACTGGTAATCATTGATTTAGTGATTAATAGAGATCTTATAAATTATCCAACCAGCTTACATATAACTATTAACATTTTCAGGCTCAAGTTTCAATTGGTATAGTAATATTAATCTTTCAATTTTTCAGCTTGGGGTTTTTTGAAGATAAAATAAAAACTTTCCAGTTTACTATATATATTAACTTTACCATTGAAATTCCTAATCATTTTTTTTCTTTATCCAACTGAACTTTTTCAAGCAGTAAAAGTTGAAATCTACTTATCATACAATTAGAAGTAAGTGGCTCTAATTTTTAAAAAGTTAATTGAGCTTTTATGATCTTTACTATAATTGGATAAACTCTTTCTTATATTCAAAGATATATTGGTAGCATGTAATGATGGGTCCCTAAAGTATTTAGCATATAAAATTTTGCGGATCACTTATGTCCCTTTTTGAGGGACAAAATTAATAGCTCTTTACTTTAATAGAGACAAAAGTCAGAAAATGCTATAAATCAATGATTTAGATAATGGAGAACAATTGTGGGTAGTTTTTTTATAGTTATTAATTTAAAAATTTTAATTTTTCCTAGTGAGGGACATTTGACTTATGTCCCTGCCTCCTCCTTTAGGGACCCATCTTTAGTAGCATATCCTATATCCACCTGTATTACAAATATATTGTATAACTTATGATAGATTTCAAGTTCTTATAGAGTTGAGGAAATATATTTAAATATGTAGGCTAACCAATAGAAATTTGTTTACATTCTTTTTACTGTTATGATTTTATTGAACCAATCAACTTATGAGAAACTTTATGCTACTTAAAATTCAAAGTTAAACTAGAGTAGGTAAAATTTTTCAGAGAAAATCAAAAAAAGTACTATTAGAGTTTACACAATATACAGTGGTGATCATATTTTTTTGGACAAATTTAAACTCCATTTATTCGATAATCAATGATTGAAAAATCATAATTATTTTTTTATTTAAAAGTAAAATAGCTATAAATTGAAAAAAATAGTATTAGTAATCAATCTTATCTCCCTTTTTTTAATAATCACCTTACATCGTGATTTCATTGACCTTACTAAATTCTTTATAATGGTTTTAGGTATTTTTTGTCATTCTTCCTCCATATATACCATCAATTTATCTAAATTTCACGGATTTCTTTTCTCCACATTCTTTTTGACTAGCCCCATAGGTTCTCGATCGGATTAAGATCAGGACTATTGGATGGCCAGTCCATTACTTCGAGCATGTTTTCTATGAAAAAACTCTTTGTTTTATGGCTTGTGTGCTTAGGATCGTTATCCTGCTGAAGCTGCCAATTATTTTTCATCATCTTCTTGATCTCGGGGAGTTGTTCTCTTATGATTCTTACAAAGAATTCAGCATCCATTGTACCGGTAAAGCAGTAAAGGCTCGTTTTTCCTTTGATCGAAAATCCAACCCAGGAATGAATTTTTTGCCTATTTTTAGGAATACTTCGCGTAGGTCTGTGACCCTTATACCACCGTGTAATTGTGTTCCT